CCCTCCCCTGTGTCCCCACCACTTGTCTGTGCTTGTTGATGAATCAGTGGCATAAAGGAGGCAGTTTATGTCTCAGGTCATGTCCAGGTGGGTGGTGTCAGCGATCCAGGCCCCCAGCTTGTTCATGCTCGTTTGTCCTAGCCAGGCAGCTGCCACCAGGAGTCGAGATGGCTCTGGCAGTCGCAATAAATTTCAGCAGATGGGAAGGAACCCCCTCCTTGCACCCCATTATCTAGGACTAGTTGGAGGAAGGCTGGGAAATATGGACTTGACACCCATTCCCACGAGCCCAGTGTGACTAGGAACAGAGGGAGGACACTGAATCCAGGAGTGGTCTCTGCCTCAGAGACAGGGTCTGGCCACTCCTAGGCCTCACAGCTTGCCCAGCAAGCCCCTCTCCATGAGGCCCTGAGCCACCCGGGGTGGAAGGTGCTCTCTGAGACCCCCTGCACTTTTGATGTGTGGCCTACTGGACACGACTAGTCCGCCATGGCCTAGGCCCAGTCTGGAGGCATCCCTGGGCCAGGCCTCCGTGGGAGCCTCCCCGGCTGTAGAACATGGTAGGCCCACCAGCCGGGTGTGAGGCCAACAGAGCCTCTCCTCCCTTTAGCCACAGGCTCCCCAGGTCTGTGCCCAGCTGCTCAGGAGACTTTAGGAGGGAGGACCTGGCACGAGCAATGACCTGCCCTTTGTCTGTCTCCAGGAGGATATTGCAAAGCTGCTGCGATATGAGTCCTCAGCCCTACCCGCTGGGCAGCTGACCAGTCTCATGGACTACGCCAGCCGCATGCAGGCCGGCACTCGTAACATCTACTACCTCTGCACCCCCAACCGGCACCTGGCTGAGCACTCGCCCTACTATGAGGCCATGAAGCAGAAAAACATGGAGGTGGGTGAGCAACGGGGCAGGCTCAGCCCCAACAGGCTGCAGGGGCCGAGTTAGAGGACAAGGCAGGGTCTGAGCACCCGAGGGAGGGTCTCTGCTTACTGGAAAATGGTTGAATGTGCCCAAGAATCGGACCTGGGAGAGCCAGGCAGTGAGTCAGCGTCCGGGGGCACAGAGGCCTGGGCTGAAGATGGCCATCTGTAATAGTTTGTGTGTCTCTGTAGGAGGTAAGGGATTTCCCTTTAAGTAGAACCATTGTTCCCTCTGCTGAGACATAACCAGAGCCTCCCTCAGCACCACCTGGGAACCCGCCTCATCTACAAGGCCCAGGAAGCCCCAGCATCCAGTGCGGCTCCTCCAGGACTCTGGGCCCAGCCTGCAGCTTCATTCCCGTGACCCTGTCACCGGCGGAGTCTTCTGCAGGCCTGACAGATGTTCTTGGGCCCTCGCAGGTTCTCTTCTGCTACGAGCAGTTTGATGAGCTGACCTTGCTCCACCTTCGTGAGTTTGACAAGAAGAAACTGATTTCTGTGGAAACGGACATCGTAATTGATCACTACAAAGAGGAGAAGTTCGAGGACGGGTCCGCAGGTCGGTTCTTTTCCTT